GTGACTCGTCAGCAGTGCACATCCAAACTTACTCAATGAGTTTTCAATGTGAAATCAAAAAGTGAAATTTTCTGTTGAAAATACTAAACATCTATTTTTTGTAGACTCATTAGTATGTTGTGATTTAAAAACCGTTTTAAGTTGCTAACATACTTTTAAAATGTTTTTTTCTGGGAAATTTTATCGTTCAGTATAGTTATACAATGATTATTATCAGAAGGGGGTTTTGTGGAGAGTTTTAGTAATTTAATAGTTAAATTTATGAGTCAATTAGAGCTAGACCACCATGGAAAACCTGGAAATACGGGACAGCCGTTCCGTCCTAATACGTAACAACTCAGAAGTGCGTATCTACAATCTCGCTCATGGGATTCGAACACAGGACCTATCGGTGTCGCGCACAAACGCTTAACCTGTAGACCACTGAGTTGTTATTCAATTGTGTTAATGCCAAACTTCAACCAGTTCATGAAACTGCGGCACCGTCCATCATCCTCTTCAGTGAGTTACTATCTCACAACACACCCAGTTGAACTCCACTGGTCACGGCTTCTCAGTAGAAACCCAGGAAATACATCTTGTAGCCAGTCACTAGTGAGCACATGATGATTATCAGCAGAAGGGTGTTTTGTGGTATTGAGGACGAAACGGCCGTCCAGTGCTTCTATGTTTTCCGTGGTGGTCTAGCTTTAATTAACTTATGAATTCAACTATACAATGATTGTTAAATTTGAGTAGTGGTAGGTTGTAGTTAACTTCCACAAAAAAATGTCCTTACTATAGGTATATCATTTGAAAAATACTTTGATATTGAAATTGTTTGATTCCTATTCCCTTATGATTGGTAATAAATTGCTTTGATAAGAATCATCTTGCAATCTTGGTTATTAAATTACGTGAGAAAGAGACCTTTTAGTTACAAAACTTCCTCCTACTTTCAAAAAAATGTGAACAAAAATTACAACAGAGCCATTATTAGCTTTTATTTTGAGTTTTGTCGGTAAAGTCACAAGCAACTGTGTTGCATCATCTTTAAGAACCTACCCAAATACATAATACAGATGCTTCACAATACTAACATGGTGTTGCCACTGAATGTTAGCAATACTTCTTGGACAACAGTGATCAAACACAGAGAGTGGCTTAGCACCCTCAACACGGGGAGGCTAGATTTCACAAGTATAGAGCGAATTCTTCCTACTTAAACATTGTAAACCGGACATTTTGAAAGTGAATTAACATGATAAAGACCACAAAGATAACCCAGATTGGTACATGCTGCTCTAGTTTCCATTATACACAAAATGATCTTATTAGTCACGTCACAACAAGCACTTACACAGCAACCGGAAACAAAAACTTCTCAACCACTATTAACTCCTGACCACCAAGACTAAGTGAAAGCTCAGGCACCTTCCAGTATTTTAAAAGTAAATTCCATTTGAAGAGTGAGATGTACATACCACACCCATAGATACTGACCGCCAACTGACTAGGCGCGGTATGCATAACTTAAGTGTCATTTCAACATCGTCCGTATGATCATAGTTGCATAGATTTTCTTCAAGTAATAGATATATACAATCAATGCCTAAATCCACCAGCACTGCATCCGAACTGTCATCAATGGAAAGGAATAGAGAGATTGGGCGACACTGCCTACCACCATTACTTGAATCAAACAATGGAAACCGATGCTTGTATCCCAATCATTTGAACACAATCAGAATTAAACTTATATGACATAGACTTTTAAGATTAAAAAAAAACTAGAAATCATGAATTAGGTAATTTTTAAATGAAAATTTCAAATCAATGTCTAGCCATTACTAATTAGGTTGATTTGTTTGTTTGTTTATTTTTCAAAAAACCCAAAGTTTTCTAGGTCACCTTCGTGTTTGTTTTTTCGGTCTTTTCTAAATAAACACAATGAAGATCCGTGTGAACGTTTTTTTTTAAAAAAAAACACCCAGTGACAAGGTTTGTCATGACATTTTAAGATAAACATCTTAGTTAAATGAATAAGGTTAGAAAAGGTGTGTGTGTTTTTTTTAATTATAAATATTAATAAACATCTAGTATCTACATACACTAGTATTGTGGTGTGAGCTACTTATATCCACATAAGTAGTATATATATTGATGTTCAGGAATAGAATGTATTTCAGTAGAAGATCTGATAGGAAACAATGGGAACGGAAAGTAATTGGTATTAAAATGTAGAGAAAATGAAATTTGAGACCATGAACTGATATTTGAAAAAGGAACAGTCAATTTTGAGATGATGGATTGATATTTTTCAAATGAAGTAGTTACTGTTTGGTGAAACTTCATCAGTTGAGATGGCTGTGACACGTGTTACACATGTACGATCACTGACTGCCCCGATGTGCGATTTTTTGTGGTGTAGGAGTAGGTTGAAAAAAAGCTAGAGGCGGCCAGACCAAAACATGGCACAAATCCATGAAGTCACTGACAAGTGAACTGAGCCATTTTGGTAGGTGTAAACTATGTGGTTGGGGACCGCGAGATGATAGCACTCGATGATTAGGGACCTTGAATGACATGACTCAAAATCGTTCGCAATGACGCAGATGTACCCACTCTTTGTGTTCTCTCAAATTCTAATCTTCTGAATTCTTGATGTCCTTTATTTTCTTTCCAAATTTATTTCACTGGATTATACTCCTTGAATAGCATCTTCAAACCCTGATCTTCCCCATTACTGCTTATACTCTTACCGCCTCTACCATTACGGCATTTGAATCGACATCTGCATCTCTGTGCTAATGTGGTGTGGCGACTCGAACTGATGTACGTACGTACGAAGTTCTACGTTGTTACTGACTGACTGACTGACTGTATTGGAAAGTGGTTAACATTGGAATCGTGAATATGTAATGCTTTCTATTTGAGATTCGTCTGGTAGATCTACCTGCATCTGAAAAATTTCAGTATGGATTCAAAAAGCTCGTTTGGCTATGGCCAACTTCTGTCACCTATGGCAAAGGCAAGATATTCGTGTATGAATTAAGGGATGAATATACTGTGTGATAGTTCGTTCTGTTCTACTTTACGGTTGCGAAACGTAGCCATTAAAAGTAGAATATACTCGTAAACTAATAATATTTGACCACAGATGCCTTGGAAATATATCTCGCATATACTGGGTTCACCAGGTAAGTAATAGTGAGGTTAGATGAAGGATATTATGGACTGATGATGATAAATCAGTTGATGTGGTTGTGAATCATCATCGACTGAGATAGTTGAGCCACGTGTTACGTGTGCTTGTACACCGATTACTACGATGCGCAATGCTCACTAGTGTCGGAGATGGTTGGAAGAAGGTTAGAGGCGACCAAACCAAAATGTGACATCAGTCCATAAAGTCACTAGATTCTGGTCTGAGCTATGTTGGTAGATGCAGACTACTTAGTTGGGGTCCTCGTAACTATCGTAACCATTGGTTGGAGATTCTTGGTGACATGGCTAAGAATCGATCAGAATGGCGTCGGTGTATACACTCTTCGTCTTCCCATAAACTATGAGATTAAAACTACTTTATATGTTCCTTCCTACCAACAAATTATTTCTTCCTGTACTATATCCTTAATATGCGATCTTTCTTCTCTATATTACCATCACTGAAAAAACTATTTACCTCACTGTTATGACTTTATGTCCGGCTTTTTATCACGTGATTTATCCACCAATCAAAATACGACTTATACAATCTTAGCACTGTGCCAGACCAATGACGTTCGACCGATATGAGCAGCCTAGCGTCATATTTGGTCTTATATCTGCCTAACCCGTCCACTTGAGTCCAGAACACTAATACCAGCTTCCAATATGCGAATCGAATCGAATCTTTTATTGCAGACATACTGGGTTTCTATATCAATCAAACAGACCGCAACGCACCATAAAACAGGAAATAACATTTGTACACAATAAACCCAAAAAGTGACTATGAACGTGAGAGGCAGTAGTCAATAAACCGACCATAGCTTAAGAACAGTAAATCGTACAATAATAAATTATAGGTCAAAATTAAGCTTATAATAAGAGGAATATAAATATATATAATCTAATTATTGAATAGTTACACCATAAGAATATGCAGATGGTATTAGTCCATCAATCGGTCTCAGAAGTTACTCGTGATTTAATCTTCACTCGGATATAACACTCACAGATATCAGTAACATAGGAATCCGCTGAAAGCTCAGTTATCTCATATTACAATCCCCGATGGTTTGAACTAACAGTCATTCCTCAACAGATTAAAAAAATGAGTATGACATTTTATCATATTTATCTGATGACCATAATCTGCATATATAAGCAGGGTGTTATATTATACCAAGAATTACCCTATTCACCTTGTTTAGTGTTATTATCTTTTTTTATATCAGTCAACGGCTAACATCAATAAGACAGTTTCATAAGCATTTGTCATTCAGCCACAACATATTATTGCATTAATCTATAGATCATTATTTCACTGATTGATTTTGATCATTGAAAATTCCCTCACTATTCATGAGAAACCACCTTAGTGACACTGATGGGGTGATCTAAACAAATTTCTCGCAAAAACCAAGCAAGGATCAGGAAACACCATGAAGCGTTTCATTCAATCAGTGCTCACTTGAAGTTTTAGCCAGAAATATCAAGGAAGCGAAACGTCACATGTAGAGGTTCTGATTGGCTGATTGCTATACTGATACTATGTTTAGTAGCCTTCCAGAATCTTCGAGCAACCTAACGACATTTAAAATATTATAAAAACCCTATATTTTCTGTATTAAAATGAACCTTTAGAGTAATGTACTTCTCACATACTTTGAGTCTACCCTCTCGTGTTCAGGTCGCTGTCTAGTTCTAGTTTGGGGGTTACAGAATACCTTAGGAAACGAATATAGCGCTTAATTTCCAAGACTTATCAGACACCATTAAAATAATAGTTTATCTTTATATCTATTCTTTGATAGGTCAATTAAAAGAAAAATCTGAAAAAAATGAAAGTAATGATGTACAAAACAATTCGGAAACTATCTTACCAATGGATTGTAATCAAGATCATTCAAGTGATATGATTGAAAAAAATGAAAGTCAAAGTGAAAGTATAAAACCTGTAAAGTATCAAGTTCTTAACGAAATGAATCCAAATCAAAGTAAGTTACTTTGTGTGTGTGTGTGTTCTCTCTCTCTCTCTCTCTCTCTCTCTCTGGAACATAGAAATATTTTCGTTTCTAAGAGATTGGAATTTACTATTACGTTAGCTATGAGATCTTAAGGTTCAATGTCATATCTTTACTTTTATTCAATTATTCTTAGTATTGCTAAATATTTTGCTATAAAGAACTATGCATATTATTGGCATTTACCTCTTGTACATACTTTATATATACATATATATAAACAAAGACTTCAATTATAGGTCAGATTGGCATACACTATCTTGTCTTTCATTAGACTATTGTATTTAGTATGTTCATTATGTCACCATATACACTAACATAGATATAGAGTTACATAGATTTATAAGTTGCTAACAGTATTTTAGAAATGGTTTACACTGAACGAATACAAATTAGAAGGGTTTTTGTGGAGATTATAGTAATTTCAATGGTTGAGATTATGATTCAATTGAAGCTAGACCACCATGGAAAACATGGAAGCATTGGACGACTGTTTCATCCTATTGTGGAACGTTAGCTTCAAATGATTCATGATCTCATCCATTGAAATTACTATAACATCCACAAAAACCTTTCTGATATGAATCAATATATACTCACTAGTGACTGGCTTCAAGAGTTATTTCCTGGAGTTCTAGTGAGAAGCAATGAGCAGTGGAGTTCAACCGGGTCTGTTGTGAGATGGTAACTCACTTAAGGCAATGTTGGATGCGTCGCTTAATGTCGTGTATTAGTTGAAGTTAGACATTAACACCATCAGATGTCGGCTCAGCGGTGTAATGGTTAAGCGTTCGCACGCGAAACCAGTAGATCCTGGGTTTGTATCTCTCGAGGCGAGGTCGTGACCACAAATTGTATGGTATATTTTAGTAGAGTGTCCGTCAAATGAACAAACGCTATTCAAATGTTCTCATATGATTTTGAGATAGTGAAGATCATTTGTCACTCAGATGGATGATCTTGGTGAAGTTTTGTTCCCTGAAATAAATGGTTTGGTCACGGAGCTTTCATTGTTCTTATGAACAACATCATCAGTATAAACTTCATATAGAAGTGAAGTGATCAAATTTCTCCTGTTTTAACTGACAGCTTGTCCTGTTAACTTCACTTTTGATTGGTTATTGTTTATCGTTAACCTCTTATTATCTGCGTCTTAATTTTGATTCTATCTCCCATTGAATCAATTCTTGGTCTTATATGTATTCGTGATTTTTCTGATCGATGGATGGATAGCTAATTAAGATCAAGGTCAAAAGGACAAGCTGTAAATCTAATGAGGAGAAATTCGAGCACTTCACTTCTACCTGAAGTTTGTGCTGATGATGTTGTTCAGAAGGAGAATAATGAAAGCTCTATGACCAAACCATCCGGTTCACAATACGAAACTCCACCGTAAAAGTAGCTATTCAAATAGTTTATATATCATCGCAGTAAAACAAAGTTGTTTCATAGATTTTCCTAGAACATTATCACTAATCAAATTCAAGAAGAATGTTTCAACTGAGTAGTAACCTTGTTTACAATTCGAAATAATAAGAAAGAGATAATTGTACACCTTCACTTTGACTAATGTGTTGTTGCATAGCACTTTTAATAAATAACTGGATTAATCAGATAGACAATACAGATCATATGCCACTACGAAGTCAAAATCGTATATCATTTACACTAGGTCAGATAGCATTGTCAATTAAAAAATAATCTAAATTAAATCCTTTAAATATCACTAATACTTCACCTACTTACTTACGCCTGTTACCCCTTGTGAAGGAGCATAGGTCACCCACCACCATTCTCCATCCAACTCTGTCCTGGACAATGCTTTCCAGTTCTTTCCAGTTGTTATTCATCCTTTTAATGTCTGCTTTCAATGCCCAACGCATTGTGTTCTTTGGCCTTCCTCTTTTTTGTTCCCTTTTAGAATTTTGCCTGTCTGTCTTCTAGGGTTACTGACGATTCCATGATCAAGGGAAGGAGTAGGATCGGGTATGAAGTCAGCAGCTCCATCCCGTAAAAAACAACCTTGTTAAAAAACGCTAACCAGAATAAACAAATTAAACCATTTAAACTCTGCCCTCTAATTTGCGAAGCCTCATGATGGAAGCCGAAGTTCTTCGAAAATCACTAGACCGATGCCCCTTCTAACAACCAGAGCTACAATTAGTATAAGTATATGAAATTTTCGGACAGTGTGGGAGACCGTGAAGACCAGTCAATTAATTTTAGTATTAAATTAAATTGAAGACACTCTGCAATTGAGTTTTTTAACACAATATAAAATCAGTTATTAAAACCATCCACTTACTCAATTACGACCATAGACCGTCCACCAGCATTCTCAATCCAATCCTGTCTTAAACAATCCTTTCCAGTTCTTTCTAGTTGCTATTCATTCTTTCAATATCTGCTTCCATTTTCCGACGTAATGTGTTTTTTCGGCCTTTCCCTTTTTCGTTTCCCTTCAGGAGCACAAGGCAGTGCTTGACTTTTGATGCAGTTTGATGATTTCCTCAATATATGTCCTATCCACTTCCGACCTCTTTTCCTAATTTACTGTTCTGCTGGAAGCTAGTTTGTTCTCTTCCATAGTAGGCTGTTGTTGATGATATTCGGTCCACGGATATTGAGTATTTTGCATAGACAACTATTTATAAATACTTGTACATTTCTAATGATGGTTTTTGTGGTTCTCCAAGTTTCAGCCCTGTACATTAGAATTGTCTTGACATTCATATTGAAGATTCTGACTAGAAACCATTCACTTAGTGAATTAATTACCCAACATTTGTATAGATTGATTAATACCCAATAAAATTTAATCATGAATGTATGCATTAAGTGGAAGAGTCTCAGACTAACAAACATCCAGTAAAATTAAACGTTGTTAACTGATTTTTTTGTCCCCCAATTTATGGTGTTATTTTACAATCGAAACTATCATAAATCATATGTAGTCAATCATTGAGAGTAATTTTCAATGCCAAATTTATGTACTTCTTAATTCTGGTCTATTCCTGTTGATTAAGTGATTAGATATTGTGTGAAGTATTTGTTGATATTCGTCAGTCAGTCAGTAACAACGTAGAATTTTGTATGTACATATATCAGTTCAAGACGTCATACCGCATTAGCACAGAAATGCAGTTGTCGATTCAAATCCCGTATTGGTAGAGGTAGAGTAAGAGTATAAGCAGTAATCGGGAAGATCAGGGTTTGGAGATGTTATTTAAAGAGTATAATACAGTGAAATAAATTTGGAAAGAGGAAAAAGAGACAAGGAGGAATCAGGAGATTAAAATTTGGGAGAGCCCAACGAGTGTATGCATATGTGCCATTACAAACGATTTTGAGCCATATCATTCAGGGTCTCTAACCATCAGTTGCTATCATCTCGCGGTCCTCAACCAGGTAGTCTACACCTACCAACATGGCTCACCACACTTGTCAGTGACTTCATGGATTTTTGACATGCCTTGATCTGGCCGCCCCTAGCTCTCTTCCAACCTACTCCTATACCACTGAACATAGCACGTCGAGGTAGTCGGTGGTTGGGCATACGTAACACGTGTCCCAGCCATTTCAACTGATGAAGTTTCACTACTTCATCAATTGATTTTCCATCCTTACCTAGTACCTGTTTCCTAACAACTGTGTTACTTACTCGATGGTCCCATGATATACGAACAATGTTTCGAAGACACCTATGATCGAATACTAGTAACCTACGGATATCCTCTACTCTTACCGGCCATGTTTCACTGCCATAAAGTAGGACGGAACGAACTGCTGCGCAGTAAACACGTATTTTGGTTGATAGACGGATATCTCGCCTACGCCATAAATGACGCAAGTTGGCAAAAGCTAGTCGAGCCTTCTGTATCCGTGCTGAGATTTCGTCACACACCAGACCACAAGGGCTGATGAGACTTCCAAGATAAGTGAAGCGATCGACACACTCAATTAATTCACTCCCTATCATTAGTTCGGGTGTCAATGCAACCAAATCCTGAAGCAACATTTTGCATTTCGAGGGAGAGAATCGCATCCCGAACATGCTTGCATTGTTGCTTAGAGTGGTCAGAAGACTCTGCATTTCGTCAGCATGTTCACCAAATAGAACTATGTCATCGACATATTCTAAGTCAACAAGTGCATCTCCCGGTAGAAGTTCAACCCCTGGAAATTTAAATGAGGAGAGTGTTATCTCTAAAAGTACGTCGACCACAAAGTTGAACAAGAATGGAGAGAGTGGACAGCCCTGACGAACACCACTTGAGGTAATCAATTCTGATGACAGTTCGCCATAAGCTCTCACTCCACTAATTGTGTTCGAGTAGAGAGCCTTTATAAGGTTAATGTACTTCTTTGGTACTCCTTTCAGTGACAAACACTGCCATAGAACCTCACGATCAACAGAGGCGAATGCCGCCTTAAGGTCGAGAAATACTACCATTGTGGGGCGTCTGAATGTGTGTCTGTGTTCTAGAACCTGACGTAGTGTGAATATCTGATCTATACAACCACGTCGAGGTTGAAAACCAGCCTGATTTTCTCTAATCTGCTCTTCACGAGCTTTAGTTAGGCGTCGAAGTATTATTGAAGCTAATATTTTAGACACTAAATTAGTCAAACTGATTCCTCTGTGATTGTCACAAGAGGACTTTTGTCCTTTCTTATAGACTGGCACAATCAGTGATTGAGACCAGTCAGATGGGATTACGTCCGCTCTTCATTATGTTCAGAGCCAGGTGGAATGAGTTTCCGAGCATCTATCAGTGCGATAGATGCTGCTGAGATCCGATGTTGCTCCCTAACCTTACGGATTACCGTACTAGCAGATATCACTGCTGTTTCCACAGCTTTTCGGATGTCATTCCACAATGCCTCGGGGTGGGCATCACCTATATGGCTGCCTAACTGTTTTCCTAGTTGTTCCTGAAATATACTCTTAGCTTGACTATCATTAAGCAGGA